CCCCGCCCCCGCCTGCAGGGCGCATCCCACGCCACAGGCTGCGTGCGCAGCGCCCGCGGCCGCCAAGCCCCGCCCCCAGCGGGAGGGCGGGGGTCCGGGCGCCCATCTCTCTGCGAGGCCGAGCCCCGCCCCCTACCTGGAAGGGCGGCGGCCACGCCCCCGGGGGCCACACGCTCACGGGCACGTCCTCCAGGCCGCACGCCAGGTCCACGGGCTCCTCGGGGGCTGCAGGCTCCTCCTCTTCGGACGCCGCCATCCCGCCGAGCGGCTACGTCCGGTCCCGAAGCGCCTGCGCCTACAGGAGCGTGCGCCCCGCGAAGCATGCTGGGAGTCGTGGTCCCCCAGCCCCACCGCCTCACGGGAGTTGTAGTTTTTTTCCTTTCCTGTCACAAGGGGCCTCTCAGACCAGGCTCGCCCTGGTTTTGAGTCCAATGCGCAGCAAATAATATGAAACCTTTCAGGTAGGGACGAAGCTTTGGGAACACAAAGCGAAATGCTTGGCTGGTGACGCAGCAAACCACCTCTCGCTGAAGATGAAATCTGAGTTTTCTCATCACACTTAGTTTTCCCCGAACGTGGGTCTTTGTTTTCACTCGGTAAATTAAACAGGACGCTGAGACTGTGCTTTCAGACCCCAGTTTTGGAGGTATTTGTTGCTGGGACTTTTGTCTGAGTCTGGCAGTACCTGGCCAGGTGAGACAACCATCTGTCCGGTGCCCTGGCACCGAGCCCGGCCGTCTGCTCTGGGTCTGGCTTTCACACACAAAAGGAAAAAAATTCACTCTAAAGTACACACAGAACTTGGCGGTGACAGCCGGCCGGAGAAAGAATCGTCCTATTTGACCGTGTCCTTAGGAAAGAGCCCAGGAGGTGAATCACAGGCAAGGCGCCGCCTCCCCTTCTCGATGCCCGAAGGCCAGACTTTTAAGCCCTGACCACCCTCCTGGCACAGGCTGTGTCGCCCCCTGTCCTGGATGAGAGTTGTGTGTAGACCAAGATCAAAGCTGATGCTCCAGAGTGACCGGCATTTAACCAAGGCCTTGTGCGCAGTGCTATTTGTTTCAGCCTGCAGGCGTTTCTTTTATAATCTTCATCTGAGGGTATTTTTTCCATTGCTTTTCGGAGAGAGTGGAAGGAAGAGGGGAGAGAGGCGAGAGGGGGAGGGAAAGGGGGGAAGGGAGAGAGAGGGTGATTGAGAGCCGGAAGAGGGAAAGAAAGGAAACACCTGGGCTATTCACAGGTAAGGCGCTTTCCTCCTGGTAACGGTGGGTCCCGTTCTTTCTTAATCTGGGACCAGCCGTGTTACCACGTCTTAAAATTTCCCGTTGAAATTATTTTATTTGACAACTGGGTGTTTATTGAGAACTTGCTACTTGCAGGGCACTGGGATGGGGTGCGGGGAATAGTGAGAATATGGGTGAGCCCACACTACCCGCCAGACAGCAGACAGAGCCTTCTTTGCGGGTTTGGCTTCATCCTTAAGACAGTCCCGTGAGGTAGGAGCGGGCCCCGCCTCTCCCCTCTACGTGCTGCTCGTAGAGAGCATGAGGTGTGGAGAAGGTAACGCTGATAAAAAAATTTTTTAAAAAGTGTCTTGATTTGTAGTGTTTTCTGATTTCATTGTATAAATATACCTACCATGGCTGATGCCAGTCTGCGAACGGTTTAACAACTGGCTTGCAAAATTCCTGAGTATTAAGCTGTCGATGAGGGTGGGTGCGGGCGGGCTCGGGCTCCCCACAGAAAGTGCTGTCTGTCTGTCCTCAGAACCCAGTCCACGGGCAGGCAGGACCCGAACACCAGCCAGAAAGCAGGCGCCGGCCTCCTGGAGGTGCAGAGCAGAGGTCGCTTCCACCAGCCGTTTTCCCGTGGTTTTAATTTGCAGCGAGAGCGGGCTCCATGTTTTGAGGATTGAGAATCGGGGGCAGAAGAGCCTGAGGGGATGGCGGGGCCTGAGCAGCCACCCTTCACCTTCCCCCCTCCCATCCTTCAAAGACGCTTTTAGCCCCGAAGCAGCAACCCCGGAACCTTCCAGCAGGTGGTGCGGTGACTCCACCCTGTTTCCCACTTGACTACAAATGATAAAATAAACACCCATTGTACATAAACGGCTGAAATGAAGAAAGAGCTTGAAAATACTTGCAGGCCCTGGCCGGTCTGGCTCGGTGGTTAGGGCGTCGGCCTGTGGACTGAAGGGTCCCAGTCAAGGGCACGAGGCTCCGTTGCAGGTTCTGTCCCCGACCTGGTCGGGGCGTGTGCTGGAGGCAACCAACCGATGAGTTTCTCTCTCCCTCTCTCTCCCCCATTGTCTCTGAAAAGCAATGGAAAAAGGATCTTTGGGTGATGATTTAAAAAAACACGCAAAACAGACAGACAAATCCCCCGCTTGCTGTCACAGGAGCTGCATCACCTGGACACTCACGCGGAATTTAAATTCCAAGTCACGTGTGTTGACCATGTGGACAACCTAGAATTTTATACAGTTCAGAACTAGTTGTGTTTATCAGCAGTGAAGCTGGAAAAAGTCACGAATACAGCTGGAGATCGCCACAGTCGCAGCGAAACATGCTCCACCAGAGTGTCTCACACACCTCCAGCAGGGCCGGCCGGGTTGAGCTCTTGCATCATTGAAAAGTGGAATTTAAGCTACTTTCTTTGCCTTAGATTCGCCTCAGTTTCTAAGCAAACACTTACGAATGTGTTTTTTGAGTCCTAGCGACCTGAGGTGCTACGTTAAAGAACGGCTGAGAGTCACTAATATTTACACGTGAGATATTGAACCTCTGCTTCTGTTAGCTTTTTAACTCAGCGTCCTTCCTTTCAAACAGTTCTTTGGTTTCTAACTTATTTACTTATGATTTATATATAAGTCCATTTAAGTTTCCATTAGTCAGTGCATCTCCACAAATACCGCACTGCGATTTTAGTACTTTCACGCTCAGTTATAACCCGACAACTGCAGTCGCTGCGCGGGGTGTCACGCTCCTCGCGGGCCGGTGCGAGCGGTTATGGTTCTCACTCGCTTGCAGTAACGTACATCATTATTGCTTGATTTCCTGCCACTGCCACTCAGAAAAACGGGTGTCTATCCTTTTAAAAAAATGTTTTTACCCATTTTAGAGAGAGAGAGGAAAGGAGGGGGAGAGAGAGAAACACTGATGTGAGAGAGAAACATCGATCGGTTGCCTCCCACGTGCACCCCGACCGGGGATCGAACCTGCAGCCCAGGCATGTGCCCTGACCGGGGATCGGATCCATAGCCTTTCAGTGCGCAGGACGACGCTCCACCAGCGGAGCCACTCCAGCCGGGCGAATTCTGCTCTTTTCTAGAGCACACTAAAGAAAGTTTATTCCTACATATCCTACAGATCTCTGGGCGATATATAGGAAGAGCCAATGAAAATACTTTTTCTTTTGAGAACAAAGTGCAGGAATTTCTGTGATGATTCAATTCCTTATTCTCAGCACAGGGCTCCTTGTTTAACTAGCCCCCCGCTCCCCCCCCCCTGGTAGATACTCAGATCACAGGGGCTGGCTCTGCGCAGGGATTGGAGTTTGGCTGCCGGCTTCTAGAAAACACTCTTTTTCTTGCCGGTAGAGGGAGCTGCTTCATTAGACAAGTGTAAATGTGGATCTATAATATCTAAAAGGTAGCAGTGGGTTGCTTTCGAGGCCGATCTCCTCCCAGAGCCCACTCAGGGATGGAGAGTAGGTGCGGAAGCTTAGGAGGGAGGGCTCTGGAGACCACCCTTCCCGGAGGAAGGGAAGAGAGAAGGCAGAAGCTGGGGGGTAACGGGTTCCAACCAGGGCCCCCGCTCGGCCCTGCCCTGAGGCTGGACGCCTTCGGAGCTGTCCTGAGCTGGGCGAGGAGACTGCGCCCGCATAGCCTCACGCCAACCAGTCAGCGGGGACTGGCTGCCCCAGGAGGGCCCACGGCCCTGAGAAAGGTGGCTCATTGGCCAAAGGCAGTTTCTGGGTGGGGGTGGCATCTGAGGACACCAGCTGGCAGCTCCCTGAAGCTGAAGAACAGACCCCTCGGTCCTGAAGGAGAATCTGGGAGTCACACCCCAGGGTCTGCTACATAGTTACTGCGACACTGTGGTGAATAACTTTGTTTCTTAATGAAGTAGGTCAACTAATCTTACATCAATGACAAAAAACCAAAGGTAACAGAAACAGGAAATGGTTCGGCCCCGTTGGGAAGGAGTTTGGAAGTTTTTAAAAAATATAAACATGCCCCTGGCTGGGTGGCTCAGTTGGGTGGGGTGCTGGCCCGGGCACCCAAAGGGCGCAGGTTTGATTCCTGGTCAGGGCACATGCCCGGGATGCAGGTTCCCTGCTCTGACTTCTGAAATATGATTCTGTAATTCTTTCATTCTTTAAATGAAGAAAATCACATTTTACTGCTTAGAAATAAATTGGGAAGGTTTGAAATACTTTTGTCTGCGAAGCACTATACTTTGGGGGGTAGTTAGGTAAGCTTGGGACGCTTAACAGAAATACCACGATGAGAATTTAAGTAATAGCATTTGTGAAAAAGTGTCTTATAAGCTCTGAAGTGTTATTTATATGTGAGAAACCATAATCATTATTGCCAGAAAAAGAAAAAGACAAATGACACTTGCAGTCACTTAATTAAAATGACTGGGAATTTTAAGGGGACAGAAAACATGGCCCATGAGTCTGTGATCCGTGGGCCGAGGGTTCGGCCAGATCACCTTTAAGGGAATCAGCCTTCGGATCCTCGGGAATCGGAGCAGGAATCCGAGTGTAAGGACAGCAAATCCACGCGGCAGGGCTCCCCCTGCTCGCGCCAGGGGCAGAGGAGGCCCTTGGCCCTGAGTATTAGCCGACGAAGGTTGGGCTGGGAAGTGGCTGCTGCAGTCGGGTCTGATGCGGGCTAAGTGTCCCCCTGCCTCCCGGCCACCCCCCGGAGTTTGCCACGAGCCCACTTCCTGCCGCTGGAAACTCTGTGACTGTGCCCGTTTTATGGCCCCGTTAGGCCCGTGGAAAACCTAAGCGGCTGTTACGTCTCTTGGAAGAGAAGCGCCCGGAAGGTGGCAGGAGGGCGGCTGAGCTGGACACCCGCACGCCGCGTGGGGGGACTGGGACACGGCGCCTCCCTGCGCTTCTGCTGATGAAACAGCGTAGCGAGGCCGCCCATCACGGGGACATTCGTGGCTGCCGTCGCCCCGAGTCCCCTTTCCCGGGCTGGTTAGCGGCGATGCTCGCTGGCAGGAGCGCCAGGCGGTGCTG